AAAAAAAATCCCATAAACAAAACAATCCTAACACAAACATACAAACAAAACGAAAATATTTTTTATTTAAAAAAATGAAATACATAAATGAAATATAAAATAAATAGATCTAGATTTAGATCTAGATGCATGCAAATATTAAAGATAAATAAATAAATTTTAGAGAGTTAAGAATTGATTTCTATAACAATAAGAAAAATAAAAAGAGCCCCAAAGAACAAAACAAAAGCAAACAAAAAAAAGAAGAAAAAAAAACCTACCAGAAAAAACAAAATAACAAAAACATAAAAGCGAGCTAATAAACACCAAACGTTTTACATTTTTTCTCGTATAATTCTAATTAGCTCTCAGTGTCTTTCTTTAAAAGCATTGTACTTGATTAAGACACACTGGGTTTTTTCAGTGGATAGGCGTGAATGCATGTTTAATGAGAATCCTGTCAAATCTTAGCTTTATTGTACTTTATCTATACGTGCTTCGTACTCATTTTTAACCTTTCACCCACGGGTCATTTAGATACCACAGCTTTATCTGAGAACTGCATAATCCAACTTCTATATCTTGAAAATGGATAGAACGCTCTTATGTGCTTACTTCATTTGGGTGCGCACTCGCTTGATTGAGAATTAGTATGGTATGGTATTGTATGGTATGGTATTTGTTTTAATAGAGGTTTTATGGCGCTCGCAACTACATAAGGTCTGATGAGCGCCAAGGGGTGGATGCCAACAGAGAAGTCCAAACGGGGAATCAGGCTTACTCTGCTCACCTCTCTAGCTTCAACAGCACAAAGTCTGCTTCGACTATCAAGACACCCCGGAAATAACGGGTTGCAGGAGTGTGACAAACATACAAAAGAAGTAGAGGAAAATGACGATAGTAAGGATTTGGAAAGATAAAGCAGCAGTTCCCTGTTGCAGCTCAGGCACAGTTATGAGCTTGACACTATGCACTTTACAAACGACATCATTACCCAAGCACACCTGAGAACACTCAAAAACATTCTCGGCTACCCAGGAAGCATACAGTGCAAGCTGCGGATTTTACGCGCTCAAACACTAACAAACTGACAATATCTTTTTATATATTGTATCTCATTAATCTAGTAAACTGTTGTATATTATAATAATAATTTTCAACAGTTATTTACTTACTTATTTACCTACCTACCTACCTACCTACCTACCTACCTACCTACCTACCTACCTACCTAC